GGAATCTTGTTTCAAGAAGATGCCATATATCAGCCGTATGATCAAGATGCAAAACATACGGTAAAATCGAGGCCGAGATTGTTGCGCAAATGGCAGCCGATAGGTTTTGATCGGTTAGAATCCACTGATCGAATGCCGGATTTGGGAGGAGAGTACCGTCTGCGGACTCAGTCGATTCGTTGGGAATAGGTAAAGAGCTGTCGAGGAATGGTAAGAATCCATTTGCCCGGCAAATCTTTAAGATCTGAGAACGCCATAAATGATAATTGTCCGGAGAGAGCGGACTTTGGACGACATTCTTGATGTTAGATAGAACGAATTTGAGGGAAGAAGAGAGCGTCGGCGTTGAAGACGATGAAGTCGTGGTGCCGTTCGCTGCTTGAGAGGTGGCTGAAGATGCCATGAGTGCCCTGGATCAACGATCCTAAACTGATACCATGTAGAAACTCTTAAGATAGAGCTTCTTGATTAAAGAAACAATGAACGAAGGAAGAATACAGAGTGTGTAATGTAGAGAAAGAAGAATTTCTTGTTCTCATAGAAAACAGAGTACAGCTTGTTTAAATAGAGAAAATAGGTAACATATAAAGCTATATAGATGGCTATACAAGTATTTAATTTGATTGCTCTAATAGTCGTGTCATGGCTCGACGATGTCGATCATGTGATGGTCTCATGACAGTGGTCTAATGTTGGTTCGACTACAAAGGTTCAGGTGTTTTTTTGGCAGCGGTCTAGCGGTGGAGCTTGGGTAGAGCTATATGATTCTTCAGGTCTTTGAGCTCTCTTGAATATCAAATCAAAGTCTAAGCTCCTTTTATGTAGAGTGTAGGCATTTATTTAAAGATTTTTTAAAATGATATGCTCGATAAATATAACAAAAATTTAGAGCACTCTATTAACTGCATGTATTGATTCCTTCGATCATAGACTATTTTTTAAACACTTTAGTGCATTAATGATATTGTAATTAGACAATGTTGGGCTAGTTGGATTCATATCATCGAGATGCTTAATTTGATTATAAGTATGTAAGATTTGAAGATCGTTTAACCCTTCAATTATTATATTGAATTTTCATATTATACTTTATAAGTGCTTGATCTGAGATCCTTTAGACTTATATATGACCGCTTTCAGTGTTATTGAGTTCGTCTTTTTAAGAAGTTTAATTTGATTATATATTTGCTAAAGTCAAAGTATTTATGATCATGGATTTGAATTCTGATTTTTTTTTTAATTTAACTATACATTAAATTTTGTGCTATATGAAGTCGATTTTTATATGACATTTCAATTATAACATTAAAGAATTTAAACTTTGCAAGAAAAATTGCAACATTTTTTAGGCTTCAATGTCATTAAAGATAGCAATTAATATTCTCCCAATAAAATTTATAACAATGAATAATACACAAATGACTCCAAAGTCTGCAGATTTTTTTTTTTTTTGAAGTGTTTCCAGAAGGCTTCAAGAGCTTCTGTTGTGCAAGTTAAATCTTCTCATCATTAATAAATTTGAATATTATTTGCCACATGTATGATAGTAATAACCTTTGATACTTAGATGAATTTTGCTCCATGGCTAACTTTACATCAATTGCATTAGTATTAACTTTTCTTATTTGCTTTGCAAAGGCTGGAATAGCTTCAATGGCAGCGGATAAGATTAGAGAGAGTCATTTTAGATGGTCTGGCCACATAAAATATCGGTCTTTCAATGACCCAGTTAGGAGAGTAGATATGTTAGATCTCATCTAAGTTAAGAAAAGCAAATGAATAACTAAAAAATATTGGTTATAAAGTATTAGAAATGACTTTTTTTATTAGATTTAAAAGAGAATTTGACTCTTAAAAGGGAGAGATTATTACATGCGGAGTCCGGAAATAAAGAACCATCCGATTTTATGATTGTGAATAGTAAAAGAGCAGTAAAACACAGTTTATGTTCACCATTGCGCTTTTATTGTTCACAGTCACAAAAACGAATGGTTATCTGTGTCCGGACTCCGCATGTAATAATTTATATAGTGGACCGCACATAGTGAGATAAAGTAGGGGTGTCAATTCGGGTCAACCCGTCGGGTTCGGGTCCCGGCAACTCGCCGGGTCAACCCGACCCGACCCGTTTTATCAAACTGTTGAATCTGTGAACCCGGACCCGACCCGTTTATCAAATGGGTCGGGTCCAACCCGGATTTTCCGGGTCGGGTCCGGGTCGAGTTGTCGTGTCGTGTCAAATATTGACACCCCTAGGATGAAGGCTTGATGTTGTTGTTATTATCGTTGTCATCAAATCATTTGTTCTAATTAAGAATGGGTCATCCATGTTGACAACTTCTACGTTGCAATTATTATTGTGGCTGAGTTTGCTTTGCTTGTGGAGACCAAAGTGAAGAAAATCTTGAAATGAATTAACGAGAATTTCCAAAATTGCAGAAATTTCAATGATGCGTAAGAGAGAACAAATGGTTTGGCAGTCATTGTACTCCACATGGTAGCGTGATGAAGGAAATGACAATTCTGCAATTCTGCTAAGCGCTTTCTCTAAAACTGCTTTCTATAAGCAGGGCAACTACCTGTGGTCAGAGCATGTTCTCTGTGGTTGATTAAATGCACACCGTTCATCCTAAACTAACTCAAACGCTTTACTTATATATATATACAGCTCAAGTGTAATTAATACATACACTGAGGAATAAAATATAGAAAAACTTTATCTCCTTCATTCTCCCTTTTCTTGTTTTTCCTTACTGCTTTACTGTTATACTAAAGCCTTTACAGGTCACTGATTCTCATGGTATCAGAGCTTGCTTAAGTCCTACAGCTCCCACGGTTCCTTTGTACGGTGAAGGTCGATGGCGGGCGGGTGTCGGTGGAGGTGGTGGTTAGAGGTAGTGATGGAGAGCTACAACGGCGGTTGTCAAGCGAGCTAACTTGTGGTGTAAACAGTTCTCAATTAAAACTGTGACTTCGGTTTATTTAAAAAAAATGAACTTAAATGATTTACACTATATTTACTTTACTTTGCTTTCATTTTTCACATAATCAAATACTTGGATTTTTAAAACCCTGCATTTGGAACACTTTACACTACTTTGTATTTCAACAAAAGAGCCCCTTAATTTATAGAATTGCTATTAAAAAGAACAAGCCATTTAAAAAGAGAAACACAATGTCAAATTTTTATTTAATAATTAAAAAGGATGTTTTCTAGATTTTTAATTTAATAATTTTATTATAACTTTTCATCCTCATTATTAGCCTTATGACAATCATTTGATGTCTTCAGTATAAGCTATTCGAGACATTAAATTTTGAATAATTTATATTCATGCAATTTTTTTCTATTTTTTCCTTGGACCAGTTAATAATGTTATAGAAATATTAAAATTATATCATAATTTAAAGCCATGTAATTAGAAATACAAAAACTAATAATAAGGAAATTGAAGAGGTCCATTTAAAAATATCTTAAGTAGTAATAATAAGGAATTTTGAAATCCGGCCAGCGCCGGGAGCCTTGTTTCCGTTAGAATTAGACCGTTAGTTCGGCGTTCCCCTATCAAGTTCCAACGGTCACTTTCCTTTTATCCATTTTACAGCACCGTTCTATTTGTCTTTTAATATTGCAGTTCTAACTCTCCTCTTTCGATCTCTGTCTCTTTGGTCTTTCTCTCTCGCTCTCATGGATCCAATTCTCTCTCACGGCGAGGCAACTCCGACGGCATTCACCGGGCTCCAAACCCATGAGAAGCCTGCAAATGCAAAGGCCTCCAAAGATTTCATCAAACGCAGGAGCCTCACCCCTAATCTTCAGGTTCCCAAAGCAAGTCAATTAAGCAACAGGAGTGAAAGGTCTCTCTCTCTCTCTCTCCCCGCCTCCCCTAGCTCTGTGTGTTTTCCTTTTAATGTGAAGCGATCGCCTACTTATTGCTCGCCTCTCACACAGTTTAATCAGTTACTTGATTCTAAGAAAGTTTATGATTTCTGGGTGGCTGATGTAGATACTTGAGTCCGACGGATCTCCTCATCTCCCCCATTTCAAGGAGATTGCTTGCGAAGAACAGGAAGGGAGTTAATTTTCTGCCTAAATCAAAGAACTAATTGATGCCAATTACTGGACGCCGATTGAATACTATGGCTTGGTGAGATCAATATGATCATATTTAGAAAAAGCCCATTTCGTAATTCTCCAAAAAATCTCTGTTTTTTTTCTCCACAATTTCATGTAAATGTGAACAGAAGCAGTATGTTTCAGATTAAGAGGCTTTTCTGTGATCGGAGTTTGTTTGATTGAACTTCTTCTTTGTGAAAAACTAAAGTTGCTCAAGTTTCTGATGCAGAATTAGATGTCTTTTATGACTTGAATTCGATTAAATTGGATTTTTTTTCATGGACTATTTTTGAACTCATTGCTTCTTCCTTGAGCATCTTAGAAACAACCTGCAGCAACATCAATGATGAACAAAACAAGATTAGTTGTATCCCTTAATCCTGTGTTCATTATGTCATGAAATTCTTAACAGTTGTTTTATTATCTCCATCTTCCTTTGGTTGATGTTGATGTGAAGACAACTACTACCAAATGTGATGAAATGATTAAAAATGAAATAGTTCTTAACCAGAAACAGAATGCAGTTCATTAGAGACTGCTGTGATGAGCCAAACATTAATATCCTGTAATACTAAAATCAATTGTTTTTAGGGGAAACTGAGAACCAGAGCTCAAATATATTGAACAAAAAAGATTTAACAGCTAAATGCACAGGTATAATAATAATTAAAAAAAAAAAGATCAAAGAGTTCAAAACGAGCGGAATTCTTTTTATTTTTTGATAATTGGATTACATGAAGAGTAATTTTATTAATTGTTAGTTAGCTTGGAGACAAAGCCCCCTAACTACTCAAACAAACAGCCCTATTAAACCAACAAAGTTTTCATCTTCAGAAAAGTTTAGCACACAAGCAAATACACCATTCAGTTTTGAGAAGAAACAGGTAGAACTTGCAAATTTTGTAATAAACAAAAATGTTTTCTGCTTCAGAAAAGTTCAGTAAAACAAGCAAACACCAACAAGTAGAACTTGCAAATTCGTAGAGCTATACATTTAAAAAAAAATGTATCAACTTTTGCTGATCCAAAAAGAAAAAAAAAGAAAAAGAAAAAAAAAAGACATGAATAATACACAAGAAAAGGAAAAATATCGTAACAGGAAGAATAAGCAGGTCTGGGATTTATAGCAACAAGGCGAGAAGGGGATCGACGTGCAAACTATCTGACAGTAAAGTAAGCCAACGTGCAAACTCGAAGAATCTCCAAACAATTTTTTACCGTTAATATTTTTGATACTCTTGCGAAGATATTTCTTTGAGTTTGTCAAAGAAGACAATGCTTGATTGACGTCTTCAACACAAGGCATTAGGATTGGGATTTACAACAATGTGCCGAAGAGGATAAGCAACCTCACCACCACCTGCATGTTTCACAAACTCTGCAGGTGTAAAGAAGCTTCCATGGCACACACAAACAATCCTCACTTCCTCCCCTATCCCATACTCGTAGAGGAAACCTTCTATCCTTCGACTGTTCGGGCCGTCCACTTTCGTTGACACTAACGGCATCTGCTTCTGCATGCACCTGCCAATCTCACCACTCCCATAGCTGCATCTTCCTCCATTGCTCTTTCTCAAAAGGGTCTCATTTCTTGCAAAACCATTGCTAATGGCAGTACCATTGATGGGTTTAGAGATTGGTGCAGCTGAGATTGATGCAAAAGAAGGAGATTTGTGATTATTCTGTTCAGAATTTGTCAGAAACCTGGAAGGGCTTCTGATTTCGGAAGTTTGACTGAATCCAGAGAGTTCAAAGCCTGAAGGATAAAAGCAGTGGAGACATAGTTTTGTTCAAGATACTGTGTATAGTGTTAATTAAACCATCAATTCACATATCAATCTAAACGATTAACCTAATGAGTAAGAATCACTGCTAACATAATAAAAACTCAAATATTATTGCATTTATCATAATTCAGACGTGAAATTAATTTTCACTTTCATGTGGATATCATCAATAAATTCATTTGCACCTTCTTTTAAATATGTTAAAGCTATCTGGAATGCAATACATAAGAGTTAAGGGATTTTAATTGTATACAATATACTAAAAATATAATGAGCAGAAGCATATCAGACGACGCCCATAGATAGAAAAGCAAAAATAGGAAAGCTAAGAAACAGAACATAGCCGAAGAAGCAACTATAACCACAACATAGTTGATTAAACAAAACAATAACCAATCCTCACAACTAACTGCAAATATGATGAGAAAACAAATAGAGCAAGGTAAACAACTCTCCGGGCTCTTTCTCTTTAAATTTTAATGTGATAAAAATGATATTATACTTAATTATAATATAAGAAAATAACGATTATTTTGATTAGCTATTTATATTTGTAGTTTCTATAAAAAAATATCATGTTTTGTCATATTTTTATGGGGATTTACATACGGATTCAAACTTTTATCATTTACATATTTTACATCTAAATTTTACTATTTACATATATAGCATCTAAAGTGTCAAAGAAAAAAAAAAATCCCTTATTGTTAGAATTTGGTCCAGACTTATGTTAGCATTTGTTATTGTACTTTCTTTAGGTTATTGTACAACTTTATGTTACCTATGATGTCTATATATAGGAGCTATAGTTTGTAATAAGAAAAAAAGCCAATCAATAAAGATTTCTATTCTGAATTGCTTTCTACTATTTTTCCTCCCCCCTCTCTCTTCCCTCTCCTCCAAGAAGCTCAAGGAGCTTCATCTTCCTCCCACAATCCTACAAGTAGTATCAGAACAAGATGAAGGTAGAGGAAAGTTTCATGTTCAAAGAAAGAAAGGAGGGAGTGCAGACGTGGCTTCGGGTATCTGACGAGAGGCAATAGGTCTCTTGTTCGGTTGTGGATCAAGTTCGCAGAGAGAGGCAGAAGACAAACGCAGGCTGGCCGCGCGGGACGTCCTGAGCGGGGTGGAGGTTGTGCACGGAAGTAGTCTCGGGTTGGAACCACAGGAATAGGGTACATAAGTCGGTATACCCAGCCAGGCCGAGAATCGCGGGAGATGTATGTGACGAGTGGGCGCTTGGGAGATGTATGTGCATACAGAGAGGCTCAGGCGAATCGAGTTGGTGCCGCACTAGAGCATTATGAGTGCGGGTGTGCCTGTGAGCAAGCGCGTGGTACATACGTGCATCTCAGGTGTGTGCAGAAGGAAAAATTATTCTGTGCGAACACCGGACGACGTTCGGAGACCAATCAGAATGAGCCACGCCATTTTCTTACTCGGTATCGGTGCTCGGTACTGCTGTATACCGGGTGACGTGACACATTCTCGTTGGTCTCCGAACCGTCCAATATCCACACAGAATAATTTCTCATGCGGGAGACGATCCTGTGGCTCGGGTGCACGTGGGCCAGGAGGTACGAGCACGCCAGAGATTATGCGTTCGGGGCTAGGACGGATTCATGTTGGTGTTGCAGCTTCTGATAACAAAAGGAAGAGGGGACAAGGCTGATTGGGCTCGCATGAGAGACATGCGTTCATGTACATGAGGAACTGCTGTTGCGGGCGCTGTTTGAGCGGGAGATCACATGGTGAAGCCAGGATGAACGAGGGCTATACGGAATTGGAGCAGTGTCCAAAGATTGAGGGCTTGTGTCAGTGGAGGCATGGAAGATGTTGTATGGTGCACACGGATCGACGTGCGAGTTTTCAGAACAAGTGTACCAGCAAATTCTAGATTCAAGAAGTGTGATCAATATGTATGTAAATCCCCCTATTTTCTATGATGATCAAGATCATCATATTTGTGTTGTGTTTGTGTTCTTTGGTCAATTGATTTTATTTTGACTAATTTTGAATGCAAAAATATAATTTTTATTTTTATTTTAGATTTTTTATTGTTGTCCAATTACATCCAACTAATTTACAGAATCTAGATCATCAATTTCCAAGAAGAAAAAAAAAAGTTTCTAAATTCAAGCAAGTAATTCGAAGTCGTAAAATTTACTTCACATCTCAGCCATACCTTGCCCTGATCGGCTCTCCATCTCCGACCCTCCCGAAGAGTTACTCCCCTCCGATACAACAGAACCCTGCAACGCTGGCGCAACACCTTTCATCAACGTTGACGGCAGACTAGCTCCGGCGATACATCTTGATGCCACCGGAGAAGACACTCCGTTAGCCTGATCACCGCTCCGAATCCACGACCCCTCATTCTCAATCTCAAATCTCCTCAACTTCCAAACAGGCCCTTCTTCCAATTCCTCGTCTACTCTCTCCCCAAATCTCCTAAAATTCCTGCTCTCCTCTCTCTTCCTCTTCGCCTCCATCTTTCTCTGCATCTCATCCACCGGAAGCGAGCATGTGCGGAACAAGGGAAACAGTGGTGGGATCTCGCAGATTGCAGGAATGGAGGCGGATCGCAAGATCCGATTTTTATGACTTTTGGCTGAATTGAAACACCCTCCGAGCGAGAGACCGAGCTCGATCTCGTCTGAGTCGCTGCCATTGGCCTCCTCCGTCTCATCTGGAGAGAACCTGCCAGAGAAGCGTAAGAGGAGGTCTCTTGATCTGCAGGAGGAGAGCATGCACTGAGTTTCTCCTTCACCCGCCTCTGTTTTCATTGGATCTACAGCGAAATGTAAAAATAAATTGACGAAGCGGCAAGGAAATTTACTATATTAATCTCTATGAAAATAAGAAGCAGAAGGAGCGTAGAGTACTTTAAAGCATACCTTAAATGATAGTTAGAAACTATGAATTTTGATGAGTTATTAAGGATGACGGTGGATCTATTAGAAAAGAGCCAGAAGCCTAAACACGCCGAACTCGCCGGAAGATCGCCCGCGGCGATGAACAAATAAGGCTGAGCGAATTCAACAGCTTGAGATCAGAAAGAAGTGACAGCAAAAAGGAACTTTTTTTCATGGAGAGAGAACAAAAAGAGATATTTCGATTAATAAATAGTAGATAATATCGGGATCTACTGCACGGGAAATACGCCGGAACACGTCGCCGGCTTGGAGGAGCACATAAAGCGGAGAGAGTATAGGGAGAAGTGGGGAGGAGGAACTTTCTCCGATCGCAGAAAAACGAAATGGAAATAACGATAACGCCCCTTCCTCGGGACACGTGCCAGCGAAAGAGCCCGAGGACACGTGGAGAAACAGACTACACAGCCGACTCGCGAAACACGCGGCGCCAACGGTCATAGCGCCCTCCCGTCGCGCCATCACGATCTAATCGTACACGTGTCGATACGATAGGAATTCCGAATCGACGATACGTGCCGGCGACTGTAACGTTCTGGATAAACAATTCGTAGTGGTCGGTCGCATCGCGCGATCCGACACATGTGCGAGGAAATTTAACTGGAGGAATTATAATAAAAGAAATAAAAAATTGATAATATTTATTGAGATTTTTTTTTAATATTTACAGTTATAATATTTAAATTAAATATGAATAGGTTATTTTGGGATATTATGAGCACTTTTTCAAATTAATAATAAAAAATAAAAAAAATAACAAAATCAATATATCTAAAAATATATGCGAAGATGAGAATATAGTAGATAAATCTTATATCAATCTAAAATAAATCTAGCCATCTCTAATCAACGATCGTAAGCTCTCCACAGTTCGTAGGTGCAATATAGTTAGGGGTGTCAATGTTTGACACGACCTGAAATCCGACTCGAACTCAACTCGGAAAAAACCGGATTAGGGTCAACCCGGACCCTAAACAGGTCGGGTTCGGGTTCAACAAATCAACCCATTTTAAAAATCGGGTCAGGTTTAGGTTGACCCAGCAACCCCAACCCGACCCGAAATTGACTCGAAATTGACAAGAAAACTCGTATTTGACCCGAAAACCTGAGATTGACTTGTTTTTTACCTATTTTGGACCCGAAAATTGAATTTTGACCCAATTTTGACTCGAAAACTAGCAATTTTGGGACAACCCCGGGTCATTCGACTCGAACTCAACTCGGAAAAAACCGGATTAGGGTCAACCCGGACCCTAAACAGGTCGGGTTCGGGTTCAACAAATCAACCCATTTTAAAAATCGGGTCAGGTTTAGGTTGACCCAGCAACCCCAACCCGACCCGAAATTGACTCGAAATTGACAAGAAAACTCGTATTTGACCCGAAAACATGAGATTCACTTGTTTTTTTACCTATTTTGGACCCGAAAATCGAATATTGACCCAATTTTGACTAGAAAACTAGCAATTTTGGGACAACCCCGGGTCATTCGTGTCGGTTCGGGTTGACCCAAACTCGAATCCGGTCGGGTTCGGGTCCGAAAACCTGACCCATTTAAAAAAAAAACAGGTCGAATTCAGGTTGACCCGAATAGTGTCATATTAGTTCCGGGTTCGACCCAAACTCGACCCGTTGACCCGAATTGACACCCCTAAATATAGTGTAATACAAGGCGAGTGGGACCTATAATGATTAATGAGTTAGATTTTTTTAATATAATAAAACACTTACCTAATCTACAATTTATAAATCTACCATTTATAATTTTGTAAAAGAAAATTTTACCAATGAAGAGAAAAATTTGTAAATTTGAAAATAGTAACAAGAAAATCTTAATGTATAGCCCCTTTAGAGAAACAATCACCACTTATTCAAGGGGTTGGTAAAAAGATTAGCAAGTTTACAAAATCTATTGAGGCAAAAAAGCAGAGGAAATGAAAATTATCCCTTAGAGTTTTCTCTATGGATTAGTAACATTCAAAAATTTTTGAGCAGTTGAAGAGCTTGTTTGTTTGTTTATCACCTTATGTCATACTCTTTGTTATGTGCAGAGGTCGGACGTAGAACATCGTTTGGAGATCAACCAGAATGTGCAACATCAGCGGTACCGAGCCGTAGTATCGAGCGGTATCGAGCAGTACCAAGCCGCGGTATCGAGCTAAAAGAAGACGTGGCGCATTCTGGTTAATTGATCTCCAGACGACGTTCGGCATCCACACAAAATAATTAATCCTCATAAAGACTTTGAATTGCTCAACATTAGAAATTATCTTATCATAATTTGCTATAAATTCACATGCAATCAACAGTTTGGATAATTATTTCAAAGCATTTGCGAGCATTCAAAAATATCGATATGCCCAAGTTGAATGTCCCGTAAGCACCTAATCAATATATTATCTCTTTAGATATGATCAATAAATAATAATATGTATCAATCAACCATAAATTTAAAAAAAAAAAGACTAATATAACAACAAAGCAACAATATTTGAAAAATAAATAAAAAACAAAAACTTAACCCAATTTTTCATCTCATGATCTTTTGGCCTATAGAAAACTTTATTGCCTGCGAAAGTATAGTATGCTAATAGCTTTTGATGTGTATATATTCTAATTAATATTCTTTTCCCACTAAATATTATAGATGAAAATGCCCATAACAATTAAATAAATAGAAAAAGATGGATCAAATTATTCAAATTTTCTATGACGTTTAAGCTCTGTTTGGAATAGCTTTTCGACTGCTCATGACTAGAAAAGCAATTAGTAAGAAAATAATATATGCTTGAATGATAGCTATTGTTTAAAAAACAATTTTGAAACTGTGGCTGAGAAATGAGCTTTTGAAAGCAAAAACAGAAAAGCTTAAGCTGCTCCAAATAAAGCCTTATCGTCTATTTGGGATGACTACATCCTTTTGTGAAGGAGACTGTAAAGTTGCTATGGTGAAAATAACTTTTTTGAAAGCTGTTATAAAAACCAACTTTCTTTTTATTGAAAATAGGCCGAGGAAAGCAATAACCAAATAAAGTTATAGTTACAGTCTGAAAAAGCAAAATAGTTAGAAAATTGTCCCAGATTAACCTTTAGTCTACTAATTTCTTCCAAATATCTTAAAATTCATAATTCTACCATATATTTTATAATAAATATTTCAAAATTTTAAGAATTCATTTATAAATCAAAATCACATAATTTTATATCATTTAAAGAGTTGGAATATTCCATCCAAATTATTTTTATTAACTAGTGGGTGGTCGTGGCAAGAGGTGCTAAATGGAAGGAGTTTGTTGCAAAGCAAATAAAAATAAATAAAAAAAAATAAAGGAGAATATGATGCATAAATGACAAGTGGTTATAAAGAAAGATGATAAGAGAGGAAAACGTAGAAGAGATTCCAGTTGTTAGGCAAGACATTCACTGCTAAATCTAATTAATTAAGAGCCATGACTTGTCTAATTAATAAACACATAGCTAAAGCTGAATTATTCAAACAGTCCATGATTTGTAATTTTCAGCCAGCTATTTGTCATTAATTAAAACCAGTTGGCTAAAAGCCCATCATCCAAGCAAATTGCGCCAACAAAAATAAAATAGAATAAAATTTAGCGTTAAATGAATGTTTGTTTTTGACAAATCGGGTGGATTTCAAATATAGTTGATCAGGTCACGTAGAAACCTGTGGACCTCTGAAAGGACACCGCTATGGCTGCATGATTGCGGAGGGGTATACGACCGCACCTACCCCGAGGGATAGAAACGACGATCGCAGGCCTCCGCGCTCCTCGCAATAGTGAAGTCACAACTCCATCTTCTCCATCCTCTCCATCTCTGATCACTGTTGTTAGCATTGATCTCATCATTCCCAACCATATTAAAAATCGATCGTATGAATTTTGACATAACCAATCAATCAACATAAAAAAATCAAAATATAATATTTATTTTTAATTTAAATTGCATTTAAAATACATTTCAATATTTGAAATCTTATGTAACTAAACAAATAACCCCAAAAGGCTCCTCAACCTCAAATTATTGTTCTTAGTACAAAATATTATGTATTCTATTAATATACCCTTGAGTTGAGACAACACTTGTCTCCATCTCTCCTTTATGTAATATCCTTCTCCTCATTCGTCTCTCTCAGCGTATTTTTTTTACCAATAATGACAAGCTATTTGTAGAAATAGGCCCAACATTAGAAAAATTACATCCCAAACATACAATCAATCATAAAAATATAAAAAAGCTATGCATGATCATCCTAAGTCTTCTCATAGGTTATTAAAGATCTTACATTATGTAATTTGCCCTTCACCAAAGCTTCTACCAATGTATATAAACAAAACAAATGAAATATGTAGTATGCATATGTATATGCAGACTTGCAAGTTAAGAGGATATTAATAAATGGCAGTATGAATGACAATAAAACCAACATATAAACATACAAGGTCAACATAAAACCTATAAGTGAATACAAACATTTGTGTCAAAAGGTGTTGTAATCTTTGTGTAATTAATTAATTTGAATATTGATTATATATTAAACGTACAAGCTATGTAAGTTATGCATATTTGACAGTAAGTATGTAATGTCAAGAGTGAGAACTTTTATTTGGTCCGGTCACCTAACAAGCTCTACGTTCGGATGCTAGTAAATTAGTGCCACGTGTTCTCACTATTTACCGCGCGGCCCGACAACCCGACCCGGAACGGACCCGGGATTGCTATGTTCGTGTATTGCTCGGTATTGGTAGATTTTGCTCGACAATAACGAGAAATATCATTATGTGAAGATCAATACCTAGCAATACCGAGCAATACTGAGTAATACCGAGTTTTTCTTAGTATTGCTCGGTATTGGTCTTCACAGAGCGGTATTTCTTATTATTGTCAAGCAATACCTAGCAATACCGAGCAATACCTAGCAATACCGAGCAATACGCGAACATAGCAATTTCGGGTTCCGGTCCAGGTCGCATCGTCGGGCCGCGAGGTAAAAAGTAAGAAGACGTGGCGAAATATTATTGACATATGAACGTAGAGCTACGTCAGGTCATCTTACCTAAAAATTGTTCCAAGAGTGAGTAATTAAATTTTCATCATAAATATAAATAACAAGTATGAATATTTCACTCAAGATCGGTCACAACATAAATATGAAAATACGTAGATTAAGAAAGTTAAATGTATTCAAATTAAAGAATAAGCAAATATAAATATTTTTAACATGATTTAATCCAAATTGATATACATCATACTTATGTACACTTATACCATGAAATCCACTAACCATCACTCATTCACTCTC